TTACAAATATCCGGTTGTTTTTCATTATTTCTGTGTGCTATACAAGCTATTCCAGACAACTACCATAATTTTCATGTATGAAGAAGGCATCAATTCATTTACTACATATTTGTCCTGTAGTGTTTAACAGTGTAGCCCTATGTTAATTGAGCAATAATCTTCAGGTATTGCTTTTATCACTGCAATCTAAAAGTCTTCGTATTCATCGTATGAACAATTCTTGGACTTCCGCGGGAATTTCTGCTAACATGGTGGCAACAATGATATGTCAGTGATCTTGTCTCTGCAAAACTTTCTATTGAACATGTAACTTGCTTGATTTACATTTTTCTCCTTAACTCCAAGCAGCAGTGAGACATACTCTTGTTCTTAGACAACTTTTGTGACAGAACATAAAAAGTTGCTGAAAGTTCCAACAAACTCGGTTTATGATTACAGAAGCTACGTTTTCCTTTACGAAAGAAAGCTGGGGTGTAATTGTCTGTAACGGATGTCTCGAGAAAGGGAACGGATTATTGCATATGCCTTGGTTGGTATTCGTTAAAGCATGCTTTGCATACAGAAAGACTTTCGTATCGGCTTCTTCTTGGTGGTTCTACGCCAGATTGTAGAACCCCAGGTTGCCGACTGCCAGATTTTCGAGTTCACTTTGCCAAAAGTTTGCTGAATGCCAGTTTGCTGAATCAAAAACTACGAATCCCAGTTTGTGGAAACCCAGTTTGCGCTGAAACCCACTTTGTCGAAAATAAAATAAAAGCCTTAAAACATTAACCACAGCATAACATTCATGTTGGAGCACTCACTCTCTTACTATGTATTCCTATAAGAAATAGCGGCTTATTGTAGTTAAATGATTCTTTTTGTTTTAATCTGTAAATCAATTGGCTATCAGCAAATAAAGTTCAATTTAATAGGCCTCGCAGTTAAAACGTTTCATTAGCATACCTATGATAAATACATAAATTTATTTAAAAAAAATAATAAATGAAATAAACAAATTAATAATAATCTACAATTATACACACATGCGATACGATGCTTATCCTTAATTTCATTTCATTTTATTTCTAATTTTAACCGATAGCCATGCTTTCAAGTGTGTTTTTCTACAGCTTTGTTGTCTTCCAATATTTTTCCTTTTAGTTTGTACACAAATGAAGCTCCTTCCTTTTAAATTCACAGTATGCTGTACTTTTGTAACACAGAGATTTAGACTGGGTTTCGGAAAACAGAGTTTTGGAAAACTAGGATTTCCTGATTTCAGTGAAATGGGTTGGGCATTCTGGGTTTCGGCATACTGAGTTTCTGCAAACTGGGATTTCGACAACCAGGTTGGATACCTTCTTGAATACTATTGCTATCGGCAAGAATGCATCCTTGTCACTCAAAGAGATTTTGTGTTAGTTCGTAGCAGCCAAGAAAAGCAGACTCGAAAGTCGTCCTGCATGCAATGCATGCTTTAAGGAATTACAACCAATACATAAATATCAACCGTTCCATTCTGGAGACATCGATATTGCAGTCGTTGCTACTGTATATCTTATTTTACGATAACAGAGAGAGAGTCATTCTAGACACTAACACTGGAATACAGAAAGTTGTTTAAATTAAGTGACATTAACTTTCACCAGCGAAGAAATCATTCCTTATTGGATCTCGTGCTTCTGTAGTCAAAGGCAAAGTTTTGTTGACACTTTCTGCAACTTTAAAGTTTTAGATGTTCTGTCACAAAAGATGTCTGAAGAACTTGAAGACTGCGGCATGGAGTTAAGGGGAAAAGTGTAAATCAAGCAAGATGTGAAATGTTCAGTAGAGGCAACAAGATCACAGACATATCATTGCTACCACCATGTTTGCAAGCAGACCCTTGAGTACTTGAGCAAATTTAATCGCTAAAATGGAAATTAAGCAGACGTAAATGATTTGGTCAATAAAAATAGTATTCACAACAGATGGAATGATCAAATGAAGCAAGGAAAATATCAAATGAAGCAAAAAATGATTGAGACAGTGATGCCCATGGAAGTCAAAGAACTGTTTATAATAAAGACGAAGACTTTCTGAGTTATTACAAGAAAATTAGCGTAAAATTTAGTGAAAGGTTGAAAAAATTGCAACAGAATAGATAAAAATATGAGAAAAATCGTAATGTCATCGTAATATGTCATATTTATGAATAAATTTCTTACTAGATCGCCACGAATGTTTTTAATACTTAGTAACCAATGCATGTATTACTTTATAAAATAATGCTAATAATTTATAAAAGTGGCCGCCATCTTGGATTTAAAATGGTCACCATGTAAAAAATATATTTATCTATATCTCCGCTTCTAAACCAGTTGAAATTATAATTCTAATGTCCAAAAATATGTTTTCATGGTCAAGAAATACTATCATACAATTTTTGACTCCGTCAGATTGTCATAAATAGGTCATTTAGGGTCATTTAAGGTCATTCAAGGTCATTACATGTAAAATACTGTATGCTATCTTAATAACGGAGGCCAAAGTGTCGTGTTTTACATCAGAAACATTCTCAACCTCTTGGAATTAAGTTTTTTGATAGGAACTACAGTATTTTATTCAATGTCATTTTGGCGGCCATCTTGGATTTCAAGATGGCTACCATGCATAACCTACCGGTATACTTTTTTAAATATTTCAGCTTGTAAAACATTTCAAATTAGAATCCTGATGCCTAAAATTATGATAGATCGCTGAATAAAATGTAAAATATTTAAGATTTTATATTTAGTACCGGTACCGTACATTCTCAAATGTTATGTAAATCTCATATATCCTAAAATTACGTTATATTCATCCACCGAAGTAGAAAGGTTAACTTAATAATTTTGATATGTTTCATGTTGAATGGTTTTTAATGACAGTCCTATTATCCAATCCAATCAGAACATTTGTAAAGCGCCTTTCTTTGCAGATACGAAGCGCTGCACCCCACATATTAGGCACCTCACAACATTATTATTACAGTCTAATATGACCACAACATAAGGAAGTCCTCTCCATTAACTTCTAACCTACTATACTTTGCGTATATATTTTCTAGAAGTCCACTCGTTAAATTAGTATATAGGCCTATAGTATAGAGAATTTTTTCTGTCAATCTCAGATATCCAAATTTAGGAAATTACGTTTTATGCATGCACCGACATGAGAACTTTAACCTAATAACTTTGATATGTACTAGGCCTATATGTTTTATGTTGTTTGTTGAATAGACTTCTTTAATAATAATATTACAGTCTAATATGACCACAACATAAGGAAGTCCACTCTGTAAATGTTTAGCATAACATTGTACAGAGAATTTCGATTGTTTATCAATATCATCATGTTAGATCCAAATCACGGTTTATGCAAGCACCGACGAGGAAAGATTAAACATAATAATTTCGATATGTACATGTTTTACGTTATGTGTGTTGATTGGTGTTAGTTAATAATATTACAGTTTAATGGCTTAATGTTAATACTATTACAGTTTAATAGTTTACAATAATATTACAGTTTAATGGCCCTGAAACCCGACGTGAGGCATTTGGCGGCCCCCTAGCCCCAATTATCAGTGCACGCGCTTCGCTCGCAACCTGACCATAATGTACGGTATTATTTATTTAATAAAATAATATTTAATTTGTATACAATAAAATTTTATCACTGAGAGAAAAAGATGTGTATAAGAGACAGATTGTATATGCATGGAGGCTTCATGATCAAAAGTTCTTGCCAGGATTTGGTATATTGGCCCCTGGCGCGGCTGGGCTGCTAGGCCGTGAAGTAAAAAGTTTGCGGAACGCTGTTTATAATGCCATGCAATAGAAAGTTACCATTTACCTATTCGCTATACTGTAACACTACTCCACAAACTCATTAGGCCTAGCTATTTTAAGTTACTGCGCGGTAGCCTACATTGATTTTACATGTTGATATATCATTCGAGATCAAGCAAGCTGAAAATAATGCAAAGAAGAGAATATATCTTATAGATCTCTGGCAGTATACTCACGTGCAATATTAGTGCTATATCAAAATGGTGACGTTGGATTCAGATAGAATGTCTAACCTCAGCCCCCCCCCCATGGTTAAATGTTTATATCCAATTGATATTACAAAATTAGTCTAATTAATTTTTATGAT